AACCCACACAAACTCACCCGGAAAGCCCTGGCTGAATCACACAGGTGCACAGCTCGCAGCCCTACACTCCCAGGAAAACTCCCCGTCTCAGCCTGTCCCAATCAGCCGCTCAAAGATCAGGACAAGCAGCCCGACAGCCAAATGCCACCAAGACAACTCTGCATGCGCAGTGTGGAAATCAGGGACCTAAGGTGAGCCGCGCACTTCTGGGTCTCTTATAGTCGGAGCGCGCTTGCCTGGTGTTTCCCTGGCTACGCAGCACAAACAGTATGGAGGGTGGGGATCCAAGGCCGCATGCGCACGCGCGCACGCACGCACGCACGCGCACATGCACTCCTGTGCCAATTCCAGCAGACCAATCCAGTCCCAGACCTGAGCCTCTGTGGGAGGACCCAGCCCTGAAAAAATGGCAGCCTCCTGTGCACCACTCCTGCGCAAGCTCCACTCCAGGGGAACAATGATTCCAAAAACCTCCAGCTCCTGCGCCAAAGGCACTCAGTTCAGTCCTTCCCGGAGGCTCCTGGGCCCCGCTCACAAAGCCACTCCCTCCACCAGGAACTGGGTGAGTGCTCACCAATGAGCAATTCGGTTTGCCGGCTCCACTGTTTCTCCAGACGCCCCCAGCCTCTCCGAGCTGAGCAAAGAGAGTCCTCACTATTTTCTCCTTCCAGCTATCGTAGAACTCCTCTTCTCGGCAACGTAACTCTGGGGTGGTGAGTGCAGGGTGGGGCCGGAGGGTCTCGCCCCCAACCGGAGAAGCCTCCCCACCGCTGAGGTGACCCTCATGGGGTTCGCCCTCTCTCGTCTCTGCCCCTCCTACCGGACTCGATGTGGCCTCCTCTTTAAGTCCTTCGTTTAGAGGTTCTGTTCATCTAGGGTCCAGGGAACTTCCGAGGTTGAATATCTTATAAATTATTTGTAATTTTGTTGTGATCCTGGGAGGTAGTCAGCAGAGCGTCTGTCTATTCCGCCATCTTACCGGAAGTCCCTTTATCTGGTTTCTTGCATGTATCGTTGCCTTTGCTATTTTGAGAAAGGGGTGCAGTGTGGCAGTTCAGTTCAGTGATGGCTCCAGTGCACACCTGCCCAGGGTGTAGTATCCGGCAGTTACCTAACCTTTCTGGGTGGTTTCCTCAATTGTCAAATGGGGAAATAACATTATCTACCTCATGAGTTTGTTGGAAAATTAAATGAGTTAGTGCATATGGAGTATTTAGAATAGTGTCCAGTACACAGTAAGCATTCATAAATGCTTATTAGTGTCATCACTCCCTTCAACCAAGAATGGCGTTACACACCACCTGTAGTCCCCACCCACCAGATTGGTGGCAATTCATGAATCCACACTAACAGTGGATGATAGTTGGCCTGTTGAAGGTTGCCCCATAGAATACACCACATTTCTCTCCAAATTCAGGACTTTCCTGTTAATTTACAGGATTGGCGACAACAGATCAGCAATGCACATTGACTAAAGCTGAGTTTCAGAACCACCTCTTCCTAAGAAGTGCCAGAATCTCTGTCAGCATTTCTTTTTTTCTTTATCAATTCTCCTATCAAATGCAGCCAAGATTGAAAATACTGGGGATGCCAAAAAAAAAATGTATGCAAGTGGACACTTTGGTCAACTTTGCTCAAGCAGTAGTTCACTGTAATCAGAAGTGTCTGGATGCTGATAATAACCATTTTGAGCACCTCTTGTAATTGCAGAAGTCAAACGTGACTTGTATCCATATTTTTGTTATTGGTATATATTGAGTATTACAATTTTAATAGTTTTTTCCTTTCTTAAAATGTGTATACATTTTTTTGGCATCCTCTGTATATACCAAATCTGAGTACATTTAATGGACTCAGGTATAAGGGTCCATCGGTGGTTCATGCTGGGCACAGACCTTGGGATATAGGAGATTAGATATAAATAGATATAGATATATAGATCTGTTATAAGGAATTGGTTCACATAATTGTAGAGGCTGAGAAGTTCCAAGTACTTCAGTCTGTAAGCTAGAGACCAGGAGAGCCAGTGGTGTAGTTCCAGTCAGGCAGTCAGCAGGCTCAAAACCCAAGAAGACATGATGTTACATTCAAGTCCAGAGGCAGGAATAAAACCAATGCTCCAGCTCAGCAGTCAGACTGGACATGTTCGCCCTTACTCATTGGAGCCTTCTTGTTCTTTTTAGGCCTTCAACAGATTGGATGAGGCCTGCCTACATTCGGGAGGGTAATTTGTTTTACTCAGTCTACTGATTCAAATATTAATCTCATCCATAAACACCCTCACAGACACATCCAGAATAATGTTTGAACAAATTTGGGGCACCCCAGGGACCAGTCAAGTTGACACATAAAATTAACCATCACAGGGGCCGGCCGAGTGGCGCGATGGTTAAGAATTGGCTTGGGATGCCAGAGGGCCCCGGTTTGGATCCCACATATGAGGGCAAGTGACACTGCCCTCCACAGCTAAGATGCTGAACAACAGCTCAACCTGGAGCTGGGCTGCCCTGAGTCGCCAG